ATTGTACGCTCGTGGGACAATGAGACGATTACGACGACGACGACACTAGGCTGCTTTTGCCGCGTAAGGTGACACTTGCGTTGAGGTGGAGAGAGGTAGTGAGAAAGTCCCTCTTGCCGAGATCTGAAATAAGGGTAAAGGCAAAGGTGGGTAAATAAGCAAAAAATAAACCAAATATAAAGTAATTTGGAGGCGATTAAGTAGACCGAAAGCAGATAGGTCAAGTAGACAAATAAAGGGGTTGGGCATAGATGATGATTGGAAGTTTGAATAACAAACAAATCCACAAGTGACGACTTTGCAGTGTGGGTAAATAAAGCAAAGACGGACGCATGGCAGACGAGAAATCACCTATTAGAGAGAAAATGCGCAAATCGGTGGATGAGCTTGAATTAAAGGTTTGAAGTAATTCAAGAACGCTAAAATGGAATAGAAGAGGATGAACTGATGTTATAGAAGTGCATGAGTAAAAGAGAGATGAAAACTTGCTTTAACAACAACTAATCACCACTCCCCAACGCCTGCCCTCCTCTTCCAACACTGTCGTTGCGTTAAGAGACCTCATCGGATGAAATGAAACACACACACACAGGAAAGGCCGCCGATTAGGGAGGCCGGAGGCGGAGTAGGGATGGGGGCTCAAGCGACGCGTTGCGGCAATGATCTCACAGCGTAACCAATGCAGCTACTGCCTACTCAGAAGCGTGGACTAACTAATCCAAGTTGGAGAAAAAGCCAAGTATACCATCGCGAAATCACATCCTGCTTATCCTCTTGACATCCAAATTGCAGAGGGATGAGTGGGAGAGAAATCACTTTCAACGATCAGTGGGTGGATAAAGTGGAAATTGTAGTACCGAGGGATGTTTGGTGAACGCATAATGAAGGAATGAAAGAGGAAATGACAAACCAGAGACGGATAGATTAAGAAGGACGAATCAACCGACGACAAATGAATTGCAGAAATGCAAAGGAATGAGTGGCTCAAGGACATAGTGTTGGATCGGGAAATATTCACCTGAATAGGTCGATGGATGGATGGATGGATGGAAGATGATGAAAAATAGTAGGAAGTGGATAAATGAGGAAATGGAGACTGCACAAAGACGTAGGAAACATCAGGCCTCAAGTCTAAAACGGCAGGGCTAATCAGACGGCTTCTAAAATCTTATTCTGTGGACAGCACTTTTTCCAGATGAGGCCATTTTTCGAAGCCCAACTTGCAGCCAATACTAGGATACTCGAATTACATCTCATTGACTAAGCATTTCAGGCATGTTCCACCAGTAGACAATATTTCGGAATTCAATCGACCAATTTGACTCTTATTTGGGTTATGATAGAAGCCAAATATTCTTCAGTCCAAAAAACAAAGTGCCAAAAAAAGAAGTAAAATAGAAAAAAATCAACCAGTTAAATTCAAATTTACCCACGGTAGGAATTAGGACAACTGCAGAAAAGGCATCTAGCAGAGGAATACGCCTGACCGCCTTTACGAGGACATCACAAAAAAATAAAAATGAAAATACGGCGTTTAGTGTACAGGAGACTACATGAAGCGCAACCTTCTCAACTCACCGGCACGTCACGAGGCCGCTTGCACATCTACTCAAAACCGCCTCCAGTGGGGTGCTGGTTCACGCCACTGGCAACAAGTATCGCTTCCACAACAGCTGAGCCGGACCAGATGCAGTTCAGCCTAGCCCAGCTTAACCCAGCGCAGAGAAAATGAAGGGTTGAATGAAGGGTGCGACGAAGTGTCTCCTACAACAATTGCTTGAATAAGTCAACATCTTCCAAGGGGATGACAAGCATATCTGCGAGCCGAAAGCGTATATAG